CTACTTCAAAGTCCCCTTCCTATCGCCAGTGGCTTGATTTCCAGAGGTGGTGGTTCCCTCAGGTCCTTCTGCTCCTTAAGGAAGTAGGACTGCTCAGACCTCTTGAAAACCAGGCCAACAATGTACATATAGAGAGAGGGGTAATCATTATTTTTGTGGGCAGCTCCAGGCAATGTCATAACACGCTCTGTTAAGTGAGGACAAAGTCCACAGTAGATTGAGCTGGTGGATGAGAAGCTAGGAGTGAGGCAGGACTGGTGTGAAGAAACACACACACCTGAGCCTATTCAGCTCTTTTTTTCCAGTGTGCGGGGAGAAGGAGCTGAGTGAGGATGAGCCTCTCCCCTGTTGCAAGGCAAACAGAGCACATTAAACCAAACAAAGCAGCACGGGTGAGGGACACTGGAAGGGCTCGTTTAAACCCATGGTAATTTTATGCGTTAATCACCCATGGGAGCTTTACACTTGTGCAGTTTAAAGTTACATTCTTTTTATAATAGGTTTGCTTATACTATACACAAATGATAATTAGGGGATGTACCTCAACATATCTTCAACAGATACTTCAGTTCCCCCAAACTGCAGAACCCTGCAGGCTGAGAACTCAAAGTTTACTCCCGTTACTTACTAAAACATCTATTTTAGTATTTCTACATGAATAAGAGATGTGGAACTAGGACCATGCTATATATTATGTAAAATAGAAATTAATTTAGGGTGCAGAAAACAGCAGAGCTGCCTGCTCCTGCAGAGTTTGTGCATTCCTGGGTTAACATGTGTAAATTGACCCCTAAAACTGCACCTACGAGCACCTAAGCATATCCAATGGCTTGCTCTTGCCATAAGGGGGAAGTCTTGTTCCTTCTCCTCCTTTTCTTTCTCTAACCTAGACCTCTTCCCAGCCAAAGACCCTGCCTCCTCACTTGTGGTGGCTCTGGAGCTTATTTGATTTGCCTGTGAGCTGATTCAACTCACTGACCCAGCAGAAAACTAGGCAGCTGGTTCCTTCTGGGTCACGTTTCTGCTTGGTTAGTGAACAGCACTGGTGAGTGTAGGGCTTCATTCATTCACAGGTAGCAGAGCTGATAAAAGAGGTGATGCGATCGCACGGCTGGGAACAGGGCCTCCTCATTTTGGTGGAGGTCAGCTGCTGGGTTGGTGCATATCATCCTGTGAAACTGAAACTTAAGGTGTCTGAATTTGAGCACCAAAATCCATTTTAGACATCTGAAAATGCAGTTTAGTAAAACCACCTGATTTGCACAAGCGCAGCTGAGGCCAATACTGAGCATCTGGGGCGTAACGCCTCCCACAGCAGCTCCTACAAGCCTCTCTGCCCCCCTGCCTGTCCCCGCCTGTCCCCGCCTGTCCCTGCTGCCCCGTCCCGCTCTGGCCAGCCGGTGGCCAGGGTATTCGTTTGCCTTCACAGGGAGCTGGGCTGGGAACTGATCCATCTGAAAAACAACTTCTGTATCCCGGTCCCTTATCAAGAGCTGTGCCAGTACGATGCGGGGCAGCGCAGGGGCTGAACAGGGCTCAGAGCAAAACTTGTCCATGTCCAGCTGCTCCTTACCAAAATGTTACAAGTCAAGGGCTGTGACCTCCAGCAGCTCGCACGCCTTTTGCTTCAGCTATTACTGTGTTAGCCTGCTGCCTTAACTACTACCAACAACAGCCATTTGGGCAAAAGGTTAAATCAAGTGCTTGATTTTTCCTGGTTCTTGAATGGGAAAAAAAAAAGCAACAGAAGTGCCTGATATGGCGGGTGGGTCGCTACTACGTATGTACATTCTTCTTCTATTATTTACATATGATTATAACATTGAAGTTGCACAACATAGGCTGCGATGTAAGCTTGCAAGGTTTCAGCTGCCCTTCCTCCTCTCCTGGTCCCTTACACTATTTTTTACATTCCTTTGATGCATTTTAGCTCATGCTAAACTGTAAGGCCCATGTGGCAGGGACCACATCATTTATGTATCGGCGCAATGCCTCCGATAATGGAGCTCTAGCAGCGATGGGGGCCTTTGGGAGTGCCTGTCACAGAAATGACAGGAGGGAATAGTTTCACTCTTGTGGAGTGCAGAATTAATGGTGTCTAAGAGTGCTTGATTTTTGCTAGCCTTTTTGAAGGACTTCATCTTTTCCTCTTGCCTACCCAGTTCCTTTCCCTCCATCTCTGCCAGATATCCGTTGCCTTTTTGACCCCCCTTCCATTTTGACTTCATGGCTGATTTTTCACTTTTGTCAAGAGATAGCAGGCTGCCTCCTTCCCTTCATTCTCTTCATCTCCCCTTTTCTTCCCAATCTTTGCCTGTGTGCTGAATAGGACTGCAAACAAAGGTTAGCTAATGAGCAAACCCCACTTCCCTAGATTTAAGAGAGAAACATATAATAATTGTTTTCTTCCTAAATACAGAAGAAGATAAATTAAACCAAATGGTATTTGGAGCTGGAGGGCAAAGGGGAGAGAAGAGGTGGGAGAGAAGAAAGGGAGAGGCAAAGGAGAGCTGCCCCTCTCCTTTGGAGCCATCTTCAGCTTTGTTTACATTTGAACAGGAGTATAGGTTAAGATGAGAATATAAATTGTGATGGTAATACCCTTTTTATACTATACATAGTGACTCATTCAAAAGCAAGTATACGGGTTTGATTTAGCTTATGTTTTTTTGGAAGGTTTTTCAGCTAATTAAATCCAAATAAACGAAGTATCTAGAGAACCCAGAATGTCTACAGTAGGTTTAAAGAGATGGAAAGTTGCTGTGGGTTTCAGTGTACTGGCATGCTTTGTGCATCCCTTGTGAAGACTCAAGGAAAACTGCATTTTGCTGATGACATCAAACTGTGCCAAAAGATACAGCTGAAGGGGAGTAGCTGCTAGAACATTGGTTCCCAGTCTTTTTGGACCTACACGCTGCTGTTACTCTCCAAAATTTCCTACAAATCAGAATGTGATTTCATACTTCAAACTGAAAACACTACAGAAGCACCAAATGGCTATGATGGTCTACCAGGGCTTTATAGGACGTCTGTGATTCTCAGGTAGAGCTGGAGAACCACTGGTCTACAATGAGAAAGGACAGAGGTAGAACAAAAGTGCTCCACGTGTGCAAATCTTCATTGACTACAATGACAAGAAAAGAATGCAATTGGAGGGGAAAGAGTTAAATTCAGTTCAGATAGTTGGGTTCATTGTGGAGTCACCATGTGGGATATGCATGCAGATGTTAGGGGTTTCACAAAGCCTGCTTGTTACTAATGGAAGGATTTGATGGGAACTCTCTGCAAGAAGGACAGGCAAAGGAAACCAGAGAACAAAGTCTGAGAAAAACATCATTAGGTCAGCTACAGTGTGCCAGTATCGTGGCATGTTATGAACAGAGAAGAAAAGCAACACCAGCTCAGTAAAATGACAATAATCAGCTGGATATTACAAGAGCTGGCAGGCCACATGATAGAATAATAGACATTTTGTTGCAGGAGCCGTGTGGACAAACTGAGATAGGCTGGACTCTGCTAGACATGGACTCTGTCACCCAGTGAGGACAGAAGTTGTTGGATAAAGAGCTTAAAGAAGGCTCAGAAGACAAAAAAAAAACAACCAAACAAACAAAAAACAAAAACAAAACTGAAACCCAAACAAAACCCAAGCAAATCAACAGAGGAATCCAACAGCTGGCGATACTGAAAGATGATGTGAAGAAAGGATCAACTCCAAGGATTCACTGCACGGGTGAGCATGGAGATAATAAGCCAAAGATGAGGTGAATATGAAAATGCAGGTGGTACTTCTGTATTTATATTATTAAAAACCCCAAACAATCAAACAAAACCCTCCATAGGTGAATCCTTGCTTGGTAAGTATCAAGTGCAGATTCGGGCTCAAACCTTGAGCCAGCCACATATGACATCGCTGTTACTGCAGAGTGGAATATGGGGTTTGAACTTGTTCTCAGGAAGTAAGAAACTCACTGGGTGTTAGGTCAGTCCTTACATCTGGGTGGAAACTGATGGTAATTGTGCAATTTCCCTAAAAAATCCCCAGAGATCTAAGTTAGGCATTTTGCCTCTGCAGCCTTTCCTGCCTTTGCTCTTACAGCACTTTTCACTCAAAGTCCTTGCACTTCCCTCCATCACGTAAAATATGGTTATTTCTTTCACTTAAAGACCTTGCTACAACATTAAAAAGCCACCAATAACTACGCGGAGGTCCCTTTTGTCCTAATACCTGTCTTCATCAGTCATGTTTGCTTAACGGGGGGGGGGTGGGAGGGGGGGAAATAATAGGATGTCTGGATTCACCCTTTTTTCCTCCTTTCCCAGCCTGGCCACCGGAGCACCCTCCAGCCGAGCATCCCGGAGACGGGGTGCCCATGTGCACCGGGGGGGGTGTGAGGGGGGGGTGGCTCCGGCAAGAGGCTGCAGCCTCCTCCGCCGCCCCCGGCCCCCCGCCCGCTGCCGGCGCGCTGCCTGCGCTCCCCCCTGCTCGGGGGGGGGGGGGGGCGCGACCCGCCCCCCCCCCCCCCCCCCGACACACACACCCCCCCACACGCAACCCCCCCACAGCCGGCACGTCCGTGTGTGCCCCCCCTCCCCACCCCCCGCCTCCGCGGAGCAAGGTGATGCGGCGGCGGCAGCCGTGCCCCGCGCAGCCTCCGCAAAGGCGCGCTGCGGTGCGCGCTGCGGTGCGCGGGGGGGCGCGCAGGGGGGCGCCGGGCCTGCGCTGCCGCCGCCGCCGCCGCATCGGTGGCTCCCTCGGCACCGGGCGCGGGGACATGCGCACTGCTGCGCGCCGCTCCGCGCTGCGCTCCGCGGCCGCGCTCCGTCCCTCTCCGCCGCCTCTCCCCGACCCTCCTGCCGGGCGGAGGAGGGGGCGGGAGAGAGGGAGGGGGGAAAAAGAAGAAGCAGGAGGAGGAGGAGGAGGAGGAGGAGGAGGAGGAGGAGGGAGGGAAGAGACGCGCCGCAACTTGCTACTGCTCCTCCCTCCCCCCCCCCCCCCCCTCCCCTCCCCTCCCCGCGCCGCTGCCCGGCCCCTGCGGGCTGTGCTCCGCGGGCAGCGCTCCGCGGGAGGCGTTTCATCCGCGGGCGCGCCTCTCCGCGGAGCCGGCGCCTCCCGGTGAGTTGGGGGCGGTGCGCGAAGTTACCGTGTCTGTGTTTTCGTGGTGTTGTTCGGTTTTTTTTGGTTTTGTTTGGTTGGGGTTTTTTTGGTTTTTTTTTTTTTTTTGGCGGGGGGTGGCGGGTGTGTGTGCGTGTTGCTGTCGCTGCGCGGCTGCGGGGGGGGGGGGGGGGGTGGGCTGCGCGGCTGCGGGGAGGCTGGTGGCGGAGCCGGCGCAGGGCTGCGCGGCGCGCACCGCACCGCGCACCGCCCCGCGGGGCTGCCCCTGTCCGGCCGAGGGTTCGTGCTGCGGGCGCGGCGGCCCTGCGGGGCTTTGGGGGGGGAAGAATTGGGTCAGAGGCGGGCACAGGTGCGGGGCAGGGTCCGCGGCGGCGGGATCGGGCCCGCGGAGCGGGGGGGGGAGTCCCGGTGGGAAGCCGCACCGCGGCGGCATCCCCCGGCGGCGGGGCTCCCCGCGCCTCCCGGCTCCGAGCGCTGCGGGAGCCAGCAGTCCCCTTAACTATATTTTCATTCAAATCCTATTACATGGTGACAGTCTCCGGTTTGTTTCACAGTGGCATCTGCTCTGGGTCTTGGAAACTCTTTCAGAGGAAGGGATCGCCAGGGGAGAGCAGGGGCTGCTTTTCAAAGCGTTGCGAAGAGAGCTGTAAGCACAAATTAGTCCTAGAGCATCATTTGCCGTGTGGGCTGCTTGGAGCATTTATTGCCCTTAGTGCTTCTGAGCGGGGACAGAAAAAAAACCTGGCAAACGGTCATACCAGAAAGTTGCGTAGCTTGAAATGTTACATACGCTAATAGACCCAATTATCTAAATAAACAAACACAGTGATTTATAGGTGTCTGAACTGTAATGCTTTGAACGATAGGGCTCTTTAACCTTTCTTTCTAATCTGTCCCTCAGAGATTTGGTTTTAAGGAGAGTAATATATCATCTGTGGTGGTGAATACTTGAGTTGATTACATTTGTAAAAGGAATGGGCTTTGAAATAATACTGAGCTATTAAGCAATAAATGAAGAAAAAGAGAGAGAGAAAGAGCAAAGAAAATTTTGGCAGAAAATATTTTCCCTCTTCGTAGCAGCAGTGCTCAATTAACTTTTATCCAGAGTTCTTATTTTATTAAATTAAACGTAAAAAATAAGTACACTGTGTGAAACCAGAAGCAAATCCTCCCCAGTCTTCTTGAAGTCTGTGTGGCAGTTAAATGATGGTCGAGGTAGTGTCTGCTAAGAGAATTTGCAGAAGCAAAGACTGCTAAAGATACCCAGTAGGTAAATGGAAGTACGTATTAATTGTATTTGTTTCTCATAGTCAATACAGAAGCAGAAATTTCAAATTCCAGGGTTTCTTATTTTACATCTTTAAAATTTTTGCCCTGATAAATATACCTGTATGTGAGGTGAGCAGCTTCATTATAGCCAAAGTGCTTCCGCTTACTGTAAAAGTGATTAATTCAGGTGTTAGCTTATCTAACAAGGGCCAAATTCTGCAGCCAGTGGAGCATCTCCCGTAAGGGGTGTCTTTTGCCCTTGTAGAAGAAGAAAATAGTAAAGTATGTACAACATCTTGCAAGCCAGAAGTACAAGAGCAATTTTATCTTTAACCAGTATTTCAACACAGGATTTTATTAACATAAAATCAATATTCAGGTCAGCAATGAGGATCTGCAACTTTCGCATGAGAAGCTGATCTGAAGGCAACACATTGCTCATATGAGCAAAGGATGAAGGATATGACACTCAGCAAGCTCACCTGTCTTTTGTTCAGTTCCTTTTATGAAATGCCATCTAATGAGGAAAAGAAACAGGTAATCTATTGCATTTTAAGGCACAGTGCTTCTCATAAGCCTCATCGCCAGGCACTTGAATGTGAATGTTGCTTTCGATCGTGGATTGTATACAAATGACTGATACGAGATAACTTAAGCTTTAAATTTATCCTACTATTAAAGTTGTATTGATCAGAAAGTGGCAACTGGATTTCAGGTCCTAAATAAGAAATGCTCAATAATCTAGATCTAATTTATATTTTAAGAAGCACAGTTCTGAGGAATCCACAAGAAATGCAATTGAGTTCTCCTTACTGGCTGTGCGGTGGCATTTAGTTAAGGAACACTTTCCTGGGCAGTGCGGGCTTCATAGACAAACAAACGAGTCAAATCTGTTTCTCAGCTCATTTATGCTGATGGTAAAGTGCTGTAGAGTTCAATGACTGGAAAAGGACACAGTCTTTTTCCTTCCAGTAGGGATCAGGATGGAGAATGGAGAGGCTTTTTCAAAGTAGTTTCAATACCGTATCATTTGTAACTGCAAAATACAATGTAAGAATAAGATTAATAGACCAAAAAGGCTTGAAAACACTGTTTAACATTTAATTGAAACAATAAATCATTCAAATAACATTACCCAGGCTCCTGTAGTGATGCCTCTCCTTCCAAGTGTCGAGAACGGAGCAGGAGAGCAGGCTTCTTGGAGCCTGGTGCCGGTCCTGCGCCCGGGAGGGAGCCCAAGTGAGGTGAAGGGGTAGAGCATGCTGAGACTCACCCTCCTCACCCATGGGTTGCCAAACTGGGGCCAAGAGAGCCCCCTCCCAAGCCTGAGTGTCTGCTGGATGAGCGGTGACTGCTGGCGGGGGCCCGGCGCGGAGCGGGCAGGGTCGGCGTGCTGGATGCGGCCCGGTTGTACAGCCCGTAGCTTGCAGGGAGGCTGCCCGGGCTGCCCGCTGCCCGTCCCGCATCCCGAGGATGCTGGCAGTTGCAGGTCTTACATGGTGTGTATAATGACGCCAAAAAGCTTGCGTTCTGGCAAGGGAGGAAGTTCAGGATGGATTCTTCCTTGGGAAAACGGCGCGTTTCTGAACGTTTGTATCATCAGACACTGCTTACATTGATTAGAACATGGAAAGGGCAAGCCGTGTGCAGTCATTCATGTAATGCTGCTAGTAGTAAATGCTAGGCTTTGAAATCAGCGTGTGTTTGTGTGGGCTTCTGGAGGCCCTGTAAAATCCTGCCGTGCAGGTGAGGAGGCTGAAGCCTGAAGATTCGGCTGCAAATTTACTGAAGGTAGTTGAGATGTCCTTTTGGTTGCTCTTCCCCCATCTCCAGGCTGGTATCCCTCATGCTCTGAATTTCCGTGCTGTGCCGTGCCGCAGCTTCTCTGTAGGTCTCGTGGGTGCACGTGCTGTGTCTGGATCACCTTCCCCCTGGCCCCTCACCCCCCGAAAGCCCCGTGCGCTGTGCAGGCAGCGCTGCCCTGCTCATGAACTGGGGTAAATACCAACCCGCAGGTGCTCGGTGGCTCACCCGAGGCCCCAGGCTGCAAACTCCACTGAAGTTTCATTTGGCTTTTCTTCCATGGGTGGAGTGTTTTTTTGCAACGCTGTGCCTGCACTTACCTGGGCTGGGGAGGGTGAGCTGTGGGTGGTGGGACCTCCAAAGGTTGTTCCTGCAAAGGTGCACCAAGCACAGCTGTCAGGTGAAGATGATGAGTGATGGGAGGCCTTCCTTTGCTTCATGGATGTGGTGTAACCAAGTTTTAATTAAAACAGCGGCGGTAGATTATTAGGGCAGATAAATACTGCCTTGTTACAGCCCTCTTGGGTCGTATGTAAGCAGTATTCGTTTTAGAAAGGATGAATGAATAGTCAGTGTGAAGGATAAAGATCAGCATTGTTAATCACTCTGGAAGTCTTCCGTGGGAAAGTGTAAACTCACGAGGAAAGATACTGTCCATAAATGTCATTTAAATATTTACATAACTCAGGGATGAAATTTTGATATTAAAGGCATGCAAGTACCAAGTCATGTTTAGGTTCCTGACAGCAATAACAAGAACTTGTACAGCTGGGGTTGGTTGGAGGTGGGCTGTATCTCTACCGCTAGCAGTTATGAAGAGTTCTTCTGTATTTCTGTGCTAGCACTTATGAAAAGCTCTTCCTCAACACCACTATGAAAATAATTTAATTGTTCTTGTCAAAGTGCATGTAAAAAAATATGAAACTTGGGAGACTACATTTGCTTAAACTTTTGTACTTCAGGTGGGGTTAACTCTCCACTCCTGGTGTTCCTGGGTAAGCAGGGTGCCAGTCACCATTATCCAGGCTATGGGCATGGTGATTGATCATCCACTTATAGTTTGTGGCTGTTGATACATCTGCAGGGTGAGAAAGAATGACTCCAGGTGGGAAGGGGTGTGTTATTTCCCCCCCTCCATAAATAGCTGGAAATGGTAGGAAACGTTCCTGTGCTGATCCTTCATTTTTTAATTCTCGCAAAAGTTTCTTTTGCCCTTTTCCATCTCTCAGAATGTGATGCAGCGCTTGAAAAAAAAATCTGTGTGCTTTCATGTAAATGCAATGAGGATGAGCCTTTGAAAACATATCTTAGCTGATGTTGATGAATAAACAAACTTGGCCAGAGTAAATCTTTTCATCTAACTTCAAGAGCCACACTGTAATGAAGTAAATATAGATGTACTTAATGGGTTCCTTTCATCCAAATACATAACAAACCCTCTAAAGTAATGCAAACAAATTTAAAATGGGTTTCTAAGTGGCTTTTTTTTTTTTTTTTTTTTTTTTTTGATACTGGAGCAGTTTAGTCCCGCCAGGCTAGTACAGGAGTAGAGCTTGCTCCCGGAGCTGTGGAGGTGCTGGGGTGCATGCTGGCCTAAATGTGAGGGGGCAGAGAGTGCACCAGAGACCCAGCCCTTCTCCTGCAGTTGTTCTGCAAAAAAGGCAGAAAGTGCTTGTTCCACGTGTGGTTTAAAACACCTTATTGGATAAGCTTTTCCGTGAAGTCGTCACTTCGGAAGGCAGCTTGTGGATGAGGCTCCGAGAGGCCGGGGAACCTGCACTGGCTGCTGTCTGCTCCCCCGGGGCCGCAGCCCAGCTCCGTGCCCTGCGGCAGAGCCCAGGCTGCCTGGAGAGAGCCTCTCCGAGCGAGCGCGGGATGGCTGGTAGCCCACCTCCGGGGCAGCCCGCGCACCGCTTGGCTGGCCACCG